CGTGCGATGCACGGGTGAACAATATTAAATGTTAGTTATAAATTAAAGATGTAAATAAATAATATTAAATAATAATGCGGGTTAACACGTGATATAATTACAAATAATGCTAAGGAGCCAATAGTCGAGCATATTTGATTGTAAATAATATAAAATTATCTTGTATAAAATAACATAAAACATGTATTTGGATACACGCAATTAGTTTTTTTTTCCGTTAGCAAAAAGATGTGAGTGCAAGTACACGCCGAACATATTTCTCAAAAAGATGTGAGTGCAACATAGTCTGAAAATTAGTTTTTTTACTGTTTGCAAGTACACGGCGAGCAAGCATAATAAATATTTAGATACCAGAATTACGATACAAAAACACGTCACGTGAGTACAAAATGTATTGGAAATTAGTTTTTTTTATGTTTAGTAATTTATGCATAATAAATATTTAGATACCCGAATTATCATTAAAAATAACGTACAAAATATTTTTCATTAAAAAAGACGTACAAAATATTTTAAAAATTTATGGCCGAACTACTTTTATTCAATTAAGTTCAAATTTAGTTAGTCTGAAAACCTATGGCCGAACTACTTATTCAATTAAAAAATTATCTTTTTTTCTTAGCTATCCACGCCTAGATTTATGTTTATGGGTTGAACTTATAAAATAATTATTAAGATTATGTGATGTTAAGGATAAGCATCACAAAATTCTGTACAAACTGTTTTTGAAAACATGGTTAGTACGCTGGCGAGATTCATGCAGTTAACAAATTGAATATTGCATTTAATGCTCCATCTTTTATTTCTATTTATAGTATACAATTAATTTTTTTGGCGGGAATTACTTTCTAAATGTAGTAAATAGTAATTCTTATTATATATACTAGTGGATAGCCCGTGCAATACACGGGACACATATATTAATTGAGTCATTTCTATAGGGCTTGTACATTTTGGCAAAAAATAATAGGGTTGCATCATCAGTTTTCCACTTCTTTCAATCAGTGATATTTATTTTAGTCATAACGTTGATATATTAATTAATATATCATTCTGCTTACACGTTATATTAATATAAATTTAATTTTACAATATATATTTATTCATCGATATAAAAAAATTATTCTTATTCTTGTTCACCATTTAATACTCAATTAATATTTTATTATAATATTTGTTGTCATATAATGTCATTATTATTATTTATAAAGGTTATAATAGTTGTCTACTTCTTCTTAGTTTATGTAATGAAGTTTAAAATAAAATTTTGTGTATAAATGTTTATAAAATACACACACATGTTTTTTAAAATTTCTCATAATAATTAAAAAAATTTGATTTAGCAAATTGTCAAATAATAAACCCTTATATAATCAAGAGATTTTTCTAATTTGCATCCTAAGGTTTTATTAGTTTATTTAACATACTATGCAATATAAATATATATTTTACAATAAATTCATTATGGAAACAAATAAAAATAAAAAATGATAAAATTATCGTGGTTGACAATAATATACAAATAAATCAAATATTGAAACTGTA